TTGGGATGTTCGAGATCGGCTGAAACAGGACCGGGAAAAGATCTTTTCACTATCAGCTCCAGAGGTTCATCGGTCAATCGCCCCAAATCCATCGTTGAGGTGGTCTACACCCAACATCGTCATTCACTTGTACCTACTCTCCCCACGCCGCAATGTTGCTTCGGCACGCCAAACCTTTGGTATTCGAAGTAGTAGCAAAGACGTTGCCGCCAGAGCAAAGAGTGCTGTTACAAGGTCACGCACTTCATGAAGAGCTCGAAGCAGGATTTGACATTTAAATGCAAAGATACCAATACACCTCAGAACAAGCAGCCACAAGCTAAACTGCACCTCTCCTCCAAATTGGAAAGACCCGGTTGGCTTGTTGGGCGCATCGGTTCTAGTGACCAGTGTACCTGTGGCGGGTTCGTGTTCCCAGACACGAGTAGCCACAGGGGCTGTCTGTTCCTTTACTGCGGCCTTCTCCATGACGATTCCGTGGCATGCCTGCTGCGGGCAAGGGGAATGCGTCGGCATAGCTCAAAGCGATCACTCTTCGAGGACTCGACTCGGAATTGACGAAGCGCCTTTCACAACCCCTGGCCTTTCCCTGATCCAGGTTACCTTGCCGGTCGAGGTCTTACCAAGGAATCTTTGAGTTTCATATCGACTAATCGGTATTTCGAGGAAACGACCAGCTCACCTTTGGGAAGTCCCGACTTATGCCAAAGACACCACTTCGTCGTATTCAGTGGGTGAGCAATCCAACGCTTTCCAGATTCTGCTACGGCATGATAGGAAGAGCCGACATCGAAGGATCAAAAAGCAACATTGCTATGAGAATATGTAGCTGCTACACGCTATACTTCTCCACGGCCCAATCCAGCAATTTGCAACATTCTAAGCTCGGAGGATTCTATGCCTACATTCAATACGCTCACTCTCAATACCACGCCACGAATAGATGCTACTCTCGTTTCAAAGTCTTACATGGCCGTTTCTATACGGTGAACAAAATTAGTGCCCAGTCTCTATCCGGCTGTATCTACCCTCGCTAATCCGGTCTTCCAGGTATCTAATAAATATATACATATATATACATGATCAAGAACTCATCCAGTCTGACGAGCGTGCCGTCCTCGAAGCCGAATGGAGAATGGCTGAGGCGCTGGAGTCCCCTCGACGCCAGGTCAGCATCGTCCGCTGTGTTGGCTCCTTTGCTCAACGAGACAGGTTGAATACCCCTCTGGGGCACTCATAGGACGGCTCACTCGAAGACTCTATGAAGATGTGCACTCCACCATTGACCTACACGACGTCGCACAATTATGGTCCTCATTATTTCGCCTAGCGGATGGTCTACTACAAGCCCACCTACGAACCCGCAATCTGGGAAAATTCGTCTTTTAACACCGAGAACAACAGCACAGAAGAAAGTCTAGATTGGGACGACTTCTCGGACAATCAACTATATCGTCAAGCTCGAGACTATCCTATTCTTTGGAACGCGGAGAGAGAACAATCAAGTATTCGGGTTGCAAGACAACCACACATGAGACTTCCCAAACACAAACAAGGAAACGGATATTATCAAGAATCGCTTGGAGACCCCAAGCTCAACGGTGCTTGACAAATAAACGTCTCCAAGTCACTGAAATCGACACGTCCAGTGGATCAGACAAGCCCGAATGCAGTGGAGGCCAACCAGGAAATTTTGTGATGGACGCCGCAACAAGCCGAGCACCAGTCCCACAGTCCGCGTACTGTGCCGCAAGCAGTCAGATCAGGAGACGCCCGCCGAGTCCGCGGATCAACGGCCTGTCAAACGTATCCCTTCACAGATACATTTTGGCACGAGTACGGAAAAGATGGAGATTGGTCGGATCGCGCAAAAATCCCATCTACACAGGAGCCAACGAACATGAGATCAAGGTGGCAGAGCATGGAGGTAGATGATGAGACAAGAATGAGATGCCACCATATTTGCGCCAATCAGATTGTTTCCACGACCACGACGAAGAAGGAGGAAGATCCTCCTGGATAAGAAGAAGCACTGGAAGAGGTCTTCGTGTTCGGACAAGGTACGTCGTCGAGTACGAGGAAAAGGGTATCCTCTGCTGCCAAACGCCCCAGCCAACAAAACCCCTATTGAAGCATCCCCAATACCCTCAACGATACGTCTCTCGATCTCTCGATGTTAACATAACCTTCTAGGGTACGACCTGTAAAGGCACAACTTCGGGCACGCCAACAGGCATTACTGATGAAGAATTAAACATTTAGCTCGCAAAGGCATGTGAACAGTATGTTAGTCCTGAGCTATTTAGGCTACCAGTTCAACAGACCTAACTCGTCCATATAGGAAGAAGCAGGCATTTTGGGAGGAAATCGGTCAAGTCTTGAATAAGCCTTGGCAGATTGTGGAACACATGCACTGGCAGATGGGCAGAAGGGAAATTGAACAACTTGCTGGGGAAGAACCCTCCTCAGAGAGCTTTCGTCCAGGTTCACCTACTCGGGCGCCACAATTGCCAGGTGTGGAAGCCATGATGGCTGGAGCCACGGTAAACCCGTATTCGCATATGGATCATCCGCCTTATTGATGATGGTATAAAACTGAGGAATATAACAAAGTAGGCCATGGCAGCCTGCAAACTTCGGCGACGAAGCGCTCGGCAGCGTAAGAAGCGAGAGGTCATACCTCGGACTCACCACCGCATGGACCGGTGGTGGGATCGTTGGGGTTCGGTCACCCTCGCATGGATTATTATTGGGAGTCAGGCAGCCAGGGCGCGGAGACAACTGATGGTCTCTGAGGGAGGGGCATGGCGTCGAGCGGAAGGGCGGTAGGGTCGGGTTGCTGGTATGGGTGGACCGCGTCTTCAACAGAGCCTCAAATGGGCAGGGAAAAGGGTTCAGTATGGGAACAACATGGCACGTTCTTCACGAAGCGCCACGAACGGCACGGCAAGGAACAAGCAACGGGCCTCTACCTTGGTACTGATAGTATGGAACTGAGGAATATAACAAAATAGTCCATGGCAGTCTCGTACCCTGGGTAATATGACCACTTTGTGAGGCACAATGCTGAGGCTACTGCCATTGACACTGTATTCGTCCATTCGATGTCTGCTTTTCTCTCATAACCCAAGACGCAAGCACCCTCGTTGTAGAGGTCTATATGCCGCATCGATCATCAGGGACAGCCCATCTCCTCCAGCTCCTCGAGACAGCTTTGTATGTATGCTCTGTAGCATTGTTCTGATATTCCGCGGGTCTCCTCCATCTCTCGGTGACCTGGAAGTGTTGCTTTCCTCCCAAGGCCCCGAAGCAGAGGGGTGGTCTGGAGACCACTGGTGCCAGCCATTGATCGATTTCCTGCCTGAAATTTGTCTGGATGTTGGGTTCACCTGGTGCCTTATACTCTCAAGACCCGTATATCATTTTTCAGTGGTTTTCCGCCAGTGACATGTGTGTCTCTCTCAGGCGGATTTTCCTTTGCCTTTCATGACCTTGCGTCGCTGAGCCATCATGTGGGTATACAGGATATAGCTCCCCGGTACGTAGATGAGGAGGACAGCCTTCAATAGCAGATCGATCCGTAGGCCCTGCTTCGCTGCTGGCTTCAAAGCGAGGTACATGAGCAGACATTCGCTGGAGATACCGATGGGGTACAGGACGAAAAAAGTATTATACCGGAGCCAGGTTAGGCCAGTCGGGACCCTTTCACTGATGGCGGCCTTCCACACGAAGAAGCCGTATCGAATGACTTCTGTGGTCCCCCAGGCTATCAAGATCCCGGCAAAGGCGATCGGCCCCGTCGTCGAGCCCGGCACCGACTTGCCATAGCTGTTGGTTGTCGCAACGATCTGTGGGAACGTGTCGAGGACAACCCAGACCACCAATATCCGCGACGCGACTTGCATTGCCGTCGTGAGGGGGCTGGCTCGCACGAGGCCCACGGTGGCATGGAGGATCTCGAGGAGGGCGATTGTCTGGGTCCATTTGAGGAGGGGGAAGAGAGCGTCGAGAAGGCCCTGAGGCTTGCCGAGTGCGAAGAGCGTGGGGATGAGGAAGACGGCTCGGAGCGTGATGACGGACCACAGGGCCAGGCAGACGGTGTTGTATGCTACCAGGTAATTCTGTGTTGGGGAAGCCCTCCGAGATGTTTGGTTCTCCATGGTTGTGTGTCTCGAAGGTCTCGAATGCGCCTGACGGGTCTGTGGAGGGGAGAATTGTAGAGAGATCTGTAATTTTTATCAGTTCAGCGCATCCTCCTCCGGCGGAGCGTGCCCAATAATTTTCGGGGGAATTGTGAAAGCGGCTTGAATCGAATATTATTATTCGTAGGTGCATGTGAAATTGAGAGTTTGACGCCTGCCCCTGATTGGGCCTAGCTTCCTAAAGTCTTGGCCTCACAAGTGCCTCTTGCATCACATATAATTTCTGCCAATTGAATGCGCGGTACCCGGCGCTGCTCGCCTCCCCGGGCCCTCTAAACGCTAGTCTCATACCCTCCGATGCCCAAATAAAGTCTCCCCAAAACTACGCCTGCAGTGATGAGCATGAGACATTTGACATGAAATTCGTTGATGCCGCCGAGTGCTGGTGCTGGAACGAGGCGACGAGCAAAGGTAATTCTTACACACAACCGTCATCGCGACCGATCAAGACCAGAAATTGTACTTCCCCAAAGTCCAGGATCGGCGAACGAATGCCGTGTTCAAACAGATACAACAGTCGTTCGAGATCCCATTCAAACATATCTAACCATTTCTTCTTGCCGATCTGAGCGTGTTCCAAGGAGAACTCAACGAATCGATTTACCAGAAAAAGCCATGCTTTTCTGCGTACGAATGCTCTCCTCATTTGGCGGAGTCTCTTCCCAGAGAAGCAACGATATATGAGCGCCTACAGCAATACAAGTTTCCTTCCATTGCAAGGTGCTACGGGTGTATGGTGTCGGGCCGCCGTATCATGGGCCTCGCTCTCTCCAAGCACCACCAGACCTGCGACAACGAATGACTGACGATGAGGTGTTTCTCCTCCAGGTATACTCTGATCTCGGAGATGCCATCTTTGATTTTGACGCTATTGTGGATGATCCGCATATCTCTGCCGATGAAGACGTTCAGGCCATCTCCCCAGAAGCCGACTATGTCAACACTTTGCACACGTTACCAAACAAGCCCAGGATCTATAGGAAACCCAATCGAAAAGGCGAAACGGACAAATCGGTCTGGGGTCGGTGCTGCAAATGCGAGAACTGCGGGGTGATCATCAGCTGGTCGAAGTGCAGGTTTTGCCTCCACAGTCGGTGCGGGTGGTATGAGTATTCGGAGGAGGGCACGACTTTGGACGGAGAGGATGGCGGTGAAACATGGACGATTTCAGCGAGCTTTACCAAGATGAAAGAGTTATCTGGAGAGATAGGGCTGGAAGTGGAAGCGCTGGTCGCCAACAGAACTTTGACCTCGCAGCAAAGTGAGAGGATCGTTGAGGCTCTCCATGCATTGAATCTGTCCTTGTCGGAAGCGGAAGAGGAAGATGACGGGAAGTGAGGGAGAAAACTTGGAAGAGGCCACAGGCTGATCTCGACTCGGATCGAGGATGGCCTAGTGGTCCATCCCTCTTGCCCTCTGCCCTCAGTGTTCGGTCGGTAACGTGTGACCAGCGATCGAAGCATTGAATGACTCGGTGGTGGTTGAAGGTAGATCCATGTCGCTAGGCAATACTGAGGCCGATCAGGCCCAGCGAAAAAGATGATATCCCAGGACTGACAAACGTGCAGGAAGTCCTTCCACAAGAATGGGCGTCCCGAGATGATTCGTATACGAAGATCACTCGACGCCACAAGCGGGAAGATGCCGAGTTAGAGTGTTTCAGGGGGACAAAGGATCAGCCCTGAACTCCCCAATGTGTCAAGAGCCACACATTTCCCGCTGTGTGGAGGGTTGCCAATATTGGTAAATGCGCCCGTGGTGGAGACTGATTGACAACATAGGTATGCATGAGGTCTTCTCAAGCCTCAGTGCAACTCCACAACTGGCGACACGAGCCTGGATCAGACCTGGTGCCCTGTCTATGCTTTCTGGAAAGCTACCAAGTGCCAGCTAAATTCATGATCAAGCTCAATCATCCAACAACCATCCGGGTAGTTTCTATGTCATCCATATTCGACACAGCTATCTGCTACATCCATGTCATAATGTGAAGCTCGACACAGGCGAGCTTTGAATCAGGTGAGTTACTGTATGGATCACATAATTGACGTTCAGCCTGTAGAGGGATTTTGAGGGTTACGAGACCAAGGTTTGACCATCTAGAACATGTCTATGCAATTCCAGGCGCCATACTTTTCAAATCCTCTGGCATCAGACTCTACAGATCGTCACAGAATCTCCTCCCGCTCTTTGGCATCCACTACACACTTTTCCCAGTCTATGATCCGCAAGACAATTGCCTGCACCGCCGCCAAGACAGCCATTCCGATGGATAATCCCGACCAAAGACCTGGCAGTCCCAGCATTGGGGGCCCCAGAGCGAGCACCATAGCCAAGGGTACTCCGATGCAATAGTTGACGGCGAATGTGGCCCAGCCGCCAATGGCCTGACGTCCCAGTCCACGCATTATACCATGGATGCAGCAAACCGCAGCATCAAAGATTTGAAAGATTGCGACATAGGGGAGTGTCCCCACAACAAGCTCTCGAACCTCACTGGATGTGTTTGCAGTGCTGAAACACGCGATAAGACTGCCAGCGGCGAATGCTAGAGTCATGTCGAACAGGGCGGTTCCGGAGAAGAAGACGGCGTAGAATTTAGACATTGATTTCGCGGCGCGGACTGAACCTCTCCCTATCAGGTGACCAATTCTGGTGCTTGCCACCACGCTCCCGGAGAAAGGAATGTGCCATATCAACACTGAAGTTGTCGACAGGATCGCTTGGGCTGCCAGGGGTCCCGAGCTCACGGATTTGTTGTCGCCGGTCTTGATGTACGCAGCACTGAAGTTCAGCAGCTCAAAGGCAAACCACTCCCCCAGTGTCATGACTGCACCTGGGATTGCGAGCTTGATCATAGGCATCCAGTTTTGGAAAGTGGTCTTGGGGAGAAATCCAGGCCAACACTGATGCGTCTCCGGGTGGTAGAGAGCGACGTACAAGACCAGCAGTACGGCTCGGAGGTTGTTGCTTAGGGCCGCTGCAAGCGCAGATCCCATGACTCCCAGACCAAGCTGGAACACCAGAATCCAGTTGAGGACCAGGTTGATCGGTGTGCAGATCAAAAGAACGGCCAACGACGCAGTGAAGTTCCCCTGGCACTGCAGGAAGCGCTTCCCGGCTTCAAACACCACGTATCCAGGCACACCGACAAGCGATGTCCTCAGGAACGTTCCGGCCACAGTTGCCAGTTGTGGCTGAGGGATCATCCCGGCCAGGATCCAGGGGGAACAGAGCCACAGCGCACCAATCGGACAAGCTACCAGGAGCAGCAACAGGACCATTCTCTGGACGTGCAAGCCGACGGCTTTTCGATTGCCGGCTCCAAAAGCCTGCGCGCACAGCGTATCCAGACTCGTTGCCATGCCCTCGAAGACGGCGAAGCCGACAATGTTCATGGTTGTAACTCCCAAGGACACGCCAGCGAGCTCGTCTTCGCCAATGTGGCCGACGACCAACACGATGACCAGGCTGTAGAAGTATTGCAGCATGTACGTCAAGACCAAGGGCACTGTGTCGGAGATCATTGCCCGTGTTTCGGCTCCCCATGTCGTGGCTGGTTCGATGCAGATGCTGCTGTCATTGCCGCCATTGTCCCCTTCCTCTGATGAGGCTTGGTCTGATTGGAGGAGTGGTGCAGTCTCGAGCATCTCGCAGCACCAGTTGGCAAAGAGAGACTTGTTGAACGACTCAACCGCGGATGTCTAGGAATTTACTGTACGAGGCACTGCAATGGGTAAATGTCCCTTCTATCATGACTAACCTTGGATATTTCAAGGGAAGAAAGTCGATTCCTCCACCGCCTGATGAAACCTTGACCGCAACAGCTTGAGCAGGTTCGATTTGACGCACAGGTGCACCCAGGTTCAGACTGAGTGGGTGGATTATGCGCTAGTTCTCCTGCAACCCACTGGTCCTTGCCACTTTCAACGGCACTGTGGAGATATAGAGCCAGGGTTAACCGACCGGACTCTTCCTTAGGCTCCTTCCAGGGCGCGGCCCCCAGACGGTCTAACGGGGATCATCTAGCTACTTGAATGAGGCGTCAGCTAGTTGGAAACGGAAAGCTCCGTGTCCTCTTTCGCTTGGGCAAACTGCACTTGCCCATGCCAGTACTTGTTCTTGGACTTGTGGACTTGGCTCGTCAAGTCGTGTGATCGCTCAGGCTCTCGCCTATTCGAGAAGTCGTCCGCTACGCCTGTGGGCGCCTAGCAGACCCTCCACAGAATCCTGCGGGCGACTGAGATTTTATGCCAAAAACTCCTCCCCCCTCAAGGGCTGTCGTCCCTATACGAGGTACTTGGACGGTGTTGACATGGTCTGTCAATGATATTCTACAAAGATATGTGACATCTCCCTCCTCCATGCTATGCCATACTTTTTATCCAGCGATCGAACTGATAGTAGGTAGTAATAGGCTCTTCGGGGGACCCGATATTCCCCTTCCAAGGCCAACGGGAGGGGCCGAAACTCTGCACTGTGGGTCTAGTAAGAATGCTGAGCCTCGCTGTTGATGGAAATTCGAGATTGCCCATCCGACCCAGCAGCATTGTGTGCGGCCATCATGTCCTCGTACCCGACCTCGTATGCTACAGTCCTCATGATGGCATTCTCTGTCAGGCTCCTCTGGCTCTCACTGCGTACAGGAACGTCCTTCATGTCAGAGTGGCTCCGGACATTACTCGAGACGAGTGCGGAATGTTGCCCACTGACCGCTTTCATCTGTTTTGTAGGCCACTCCCCCGACGAGGCGGTGGTGTTGTTCTGGCTCCTGTTGGCCGTCCGCTTCGTTGTGAATCGCTGCGTGACGGCTGTGGCAATCTTAGATCGGAGCCCCTGAGAACTGTTGTCGACGGTCGTCTGGTACTGGGCAGGGACGGTGAAGAACGAGGTGCCGGATTTGAACATATCGAGGACTGTTTTCAAACTCGGGATGCACGCCGTGAGGATAGACAGGTTCATCACCAGTTGGCTCCAGATGGCCGGGCCGACCATGTTCCAGCTCCTGTCGTCAGATTCGTACAATTTGCGATACTCGACAAGCTGGACGATGATGAAAATGGGAACACTGTCTTGACATATCAGTGCGACGTTCTTTTCAAAGTTCTGATTTTTTTTTTTGGCACATACATGATTCGAGAGGCGAACAAGGTCACGACCTGCCATTTTCTGGTCGTGTTTGTCTGCACCCACCACATCATGGCCGAGGGGATGGCGACCAGGGCCAGGTCTGTCAGGATGTTCGCGATCCCTAGGAAGAGCGAGAGCGCCTCCTGATCGATGCATTTTCCGTCCTCGAATATCCACGGCTGTGGTAGTTTGCACTGAAAGGCGATGGCAAAGACCCCGGAGACTGTCCAGCCAAAGATGATAGCCAGCAGAGCGTAACAAGAGCGTTGAATTCGTCGCTGTGGCGCTATCGCCATGACAAAAGAGACGACGGATGCTTTTGCGAAGGCGCAGGCGATGATGAAAAGCATCTGGGCTGCGTATGTATACTGTACTTCTGTCAGCAGATCCATCCTCTATGGGGGATGGGAGGAAAGACGTGGTCACAACATAACTCGTGAGAAGGAGGCAAACTGGTCGTGGGACACGGCATCATGGTGTTGCCCCAAGCCATGCTTGCACGCAGCGATGACACAGGTGGTTTGCACCAGTGCAGTGATTGTCGATGCGACGATCAGCCAGTCGTATATTTTCATAAACGTGAGGTGAAGCTTGGACACGACCTTGGACACGACGGCCATAATCGAGTATATCAGAAACACCGTGGCCGTCACCACAACCCATGGCGCATGGTTGTCGGGGGAGATCTGAAAGAAAGCAGGAGACTCTTGATCCGCCATCCTGACTGCTGCCGTGGTAGGGTGTGGACGAAGCGCAGAGACGAGGATCGAACAGTATCAAGAAAGAAACCCCAGAGTTGACAAAGGCACGCAGACAGTGGGCATCTGGCGTCTGTTTATTCCCCGACAATAAGCAGGGCAAGGTGGTGGTGATCGACCTGGCCAGGCTTTTGCATGGCTGGCCACCTGGCTAAGCAGTCCTATGGGCTATACTTGATCCGAATGGGGGCTCCCCCCCTCAACCAGCATGCCGCTCCTGAGGCTGCCCTGTGGTATCAGGATTCCACCACGGCTCGTGTTTGCAGGGGGATGAAGCCGAGCATGTCTGCGTTTGTCCAGGGGACCAGCAGCCCAGCCGCCACAATCCAACTACTAGGCTTCCCCAGAGACCAGCATCACGAAATACAGTACTTTTTTCACGTTTGGATCATGTATCTTCTATTGGGAATGCTTTTTTTCTCTCCATTTTCCTCCGAGATCGAGCATATC